AAAACCTTATATTCCCTTCCCGTTGTCCTGCCCTTCCCTAGATTGTCCTGCATTCTTACAAAAATCATAACTTTTTTAAAACGCCACAGGACGTGGGACAAATCGTTAAAAATCAGGACTGTCCCGCCAAAAGCGGGAAGTCTGGTCACCCCTTAATCTAGACCATTAAAATGTTCTCCATTTCAGTAACAATGCTCTCTTGTTCACTACAATAGCACTTTTAATGTACTTCTGAAACCTTTTCGCATTCAAAACTTGGCTACCTGTATGGCAAAAAGGCCTGAGCTACTGGCCTCTCTCTGCCTTCAACATGCCTTCTGCACCAACCTTAATCATTTCTAGCTTCTGATTTGAAATGAAAGTTGCTCCACTTTTCCTTTCACTTCAACACTTAGAGGCCACTGTGGGGTCATTAATTGGCCTAATTTCAATATTATTGTGTCTCAAGGAATAAGGAGGCCTGAAGAGAAGGTTGGGTGGTCGTCATGAGGGGAATGGCCAGTCCGTGGAGCACACACCACATATAAAATTTATGAAGTTGGCTCAGGGCCTGTGGCTCAAATGGCTAAGGTGCCAGCCACATACACCTAAGGTGGCAGGTTCGAATCCAGCCCAGGCCCACCAAACAATAATTACGGCTGCAACCAAAAAACAGCCAGGCGTTGTGGTGGGTGCCTGTGGTCCCAGCTACTTGGGAGGCTGAGGCAAGAGACTTGCTTGAGCCCAGGAGTTGGAGGTTGTTGTGAGCTGCGATGCCAAGGCACTCTACCCAGGGGGATAGCTTGAGGCTCTGTCTCCAAAAAAAAAAAAATTTTTTTTTTGAAGTTTGCCATCTTATATGGGTGCAGTTGTGGTACTCTTAAACAATTACAATAGTAATATCAAAGATCATTGATTATAGATCACAACAACAGATATGCTGATAATAACAATTAAAAAATTTCAGATATTTTGAGAATTACCAAAAGGTGACAGAGCTACAGTGAGCATGTGCTTTTGTAAAAATGGCACCAACAGACTTTCTTGCACAGGATTGCTACAAATCATCTACTTATAAAAAACAGCATGTGTAAAACACCACAAAATCAGGTATACCTGTACTTTCTGAATGAAAAGTTTGACTGAAGTTAATCCAAATCCTTGATTTAGCACTTTAAATAAGAGAAAAAGGCCAGGAAGTCTAATGAATCCAAACTACAGTCAGAGTACAAACCCAGATCATATACTGAGCGTTAACTAAAAAGTCTCAACTTGAGCATCACCTACTTCCCACGACCTGGAGCAGACTCAGCCAATTTTGGCGAGGTCTAAGGTATATTAATTAATATAATGAGTTAAAGCCTTGATTCCCTCCTGCATTCATCTGAGATACATTAGCACTGAGTTATGACACGCAACTTTACCTTTATTTTTTGAGGGTCTAAACCATTCAGCAACTCTGTAAAAGCCTGCACAGCACTGCGGCAACGCTGCTCCAACAAGGCTGTGTAACCATCTTGAATTAAACTTCTCAGCATTTTCATTATATTAGCAAAATCCTGCAAAAAGCATGCAGGTTCATCAGTAATGTTTTATAACAAGTAATAAAATATTCAAATACATATTTTAAACTACTCTTCATTCATTCACTCACTCATTCCTTTCTCAGTATTTAAAGTTAAAATTAAAAGGCACTGCTTCATCATCCTAGCTCTAGCACCTCTGCTGCCCAGGGTAAGGCTGCTTCATTTACACTACATGGTGCTAAGCCTTGCTTGCCTTCCAGACTAAACAGACAGCATTGTGAAGTTTTAACATATATGGAAGACACCAGCAATCATTTAAATAACTGTTTGATTTGGACTAGAATAATGGCACATAAGAACATGTAATCAGTGTACTGATGCTATCAGATTTTAACAACTGCCACCCTGCTCTGAATCAAACCTTGATTCTAAGCAAGCAATGGATATTTCAATTTATAACTCTTCTGCCTAACATGTTCTTGAATATAACCAGTTAAAATTGTTGGGAGAGATGTCAATAAGTTAAATCCAAAAAGAATAACATAAGAAATAAAAAAAATTCCTATAATGCATTCTTAAAGTGAGAAAAACTCTGTAATTTGAATACATACACGCACACATATTATAACTAATATACTGGCCTTAAGTCATAAACATTCCAAAAAAGTTTGAGAGGCAAGAACAGACGTTAAGCCTGAACTCTCCTCTCTCCTTGCCATACATTTGTATACCATATACAATGGTGCAGAAAATTCAAATGTGTGTAGTATATTCCTCACTCTTCCTCATGAAGATCCAAAGGAATACCTCATTGCACAAAGCACAGAGAGAAAAGCAGTTCGGTCACACATCAAAAAAACCTTTCTGCTGGTTTCTATCTAATGAATCAATGTTGAGAGAACTTCACTCCAGAAAATGCATGGAAAAGAACAGCTCTTATAGAAAGTTGGTGTATGTATTTAAGAAGCCTAATGATAGCCAACTTTATTTTTTATTTTTGTCATGACATTTTCTCCTGGTAGATAGCCAAATTTATTTTAATATATGAATTCAAGATATGAATTTGAACTTACAGAAGATGAACTACTATCCCCACAAATGCTATTTAATAGTTATTAGCCTCGTATGAACTAATTTTATTTTAATCTCTTTCTCATTTTACAAAGCAGATCCACATAACCTCATGTTTTTAACAGAAATTATTGCCCTCAATATATGCCCTCAGTATAAAATAATGATCTGTACTAAAAGCTTCTCCAGTGCAAGCTGAGCGACATCACCGCAAACCCAATTTCTCTGTCTTCAGCAAATGAGAGAGCCTCAGTAAAAATACACTAAATGAACAAATGAAGGCTAAAAAGATAACAATTGTAGGTGGCACCTGTAGCTCAAAGGGGTAAGGGCACCAGCCCCATATAACAGATGTGGCGGGTTCAAACCCAGCCTCTGCCAAAAAAAAAGATAACAATTGTATTCACTTAAATAGTTTTTTCTATTTTCACTGGCTGTCTTCTGTGTATTTCATAGCTTTTAGAGTCAGTAAAATCAACATAAGAAGACATAACTTAAAAATCTCCAACTGGCTCAGTGCCTGTGGCTCAAGTGGCTAAGGCGCCAGCCACATACACCTAAGGTGGTGGGTTCAAATCCAGCCCGGGCCCGCCAAACAACAATGAGGGCTGCAATCAAAAAATAGCCAGGCGTTGTGGCGGGCTCCTGTGGTCCCAGCTACTTGGGAGGCGGAGGCAGGAGACTTGCTTGAGCCCAGGAGTTGGAGGTTGCTGTGAGCTGTGATGCCACAGCACTCTACCCAGGGGGACAGCTTGAGGCTCTGTATCAAAAAAAAAAAAAACTCCAACTATGGGTGGTGCTGGCCACATACACTGAGGTTGGCAGGTTCAAACCCATAACAGGCCAGCTAAAAGAACAATGACACAATGACAACTGCAACAAAAATATATATATATAGCTAGGTGTTGTGGTGGGCACCTGTAGTCCCAGCTACTTGGGAGGCTGAGGCAGGAGAATCACTTAAGTCCAAGAGTTTGAGGTTGCTGTGGCACCACAGCACTCTACCAAAGGTGACAGCTTGAGACTCTGTCTCAAAAAAAAGAAAAAAAAAACTCCAACTGTAAGAAATTCTAAAAATGTTCTTGTGCAAATAACTAAAAATCTATTCAAGTGCTTTATAAGATATGTTAAGTATATTCCAAATAACCGACCTCTGTACTTTAAACAAGTAATCTATGTACTCCATGTTACTGTACACTTTTTATAACTAAACAACATAGAATTTTACATATAGTTATCTAATTAATGTTAAATCAGTCAAGGAATAAAGAGTTTGATCTTTAATGATTTTAGAGCATGTATAATTAAACAGCAAATATTTAAATATACTATTTAAATACTATTTAAAAACTATTTTTAACAAATTATTTAAATCTTTTTAAAAAATAAAGTCAACACTATTGCTAAATCTTTAAGAAGCAAACAATTCTGCAATGTTAACCATTAGTTAAACCTGTGTCTAACATAATTACCAAGTTAATATTTAAATAGTGATAGTTTGGGTTCTTAGAAGCCATAGTTCAAATTATATGTCTACAACTAAAATCACAAAAAAATAAATTTTATAGACATGCATGACGAGAACTGTATTCACATAAAAATTGTTTTGTTTAAAGAGTGTTTTTCCCACTGGAAAAAGCTTCTCCATTACCTGGTGTGCAGCTCTGGAAGATTTTGAAAATTGTTTCTCTAAGATGTTTTTCAAATCTACTGGTAAAGTCAACTGTGAATTAGAACTAAAAGAAAAAAGCATTTTAAAAAGCATTTTAAAATAAAATGTCATATTATTCTATAAAGAAAAAAATATAATTACTGAAGACCATTTAATATACTGAGTAAACAGAGGGTCACACAAGTTCCTGAATAGAAAATAAATTTATCTTTAACAAAAGAGGTTGAAATTAGTAGTAGACATTAAAGAAAATGATCACACATTAGAATTTGATTTCTTTAGGGGTCTGGAGAAGCAGGGAGGAAGACTCAGGATTTTTCTACCAAATAACAGAATAGAATTAATATAATATACTATGTCCTTGCTTTGTATTTAATTTTAGTAGAAACATCCAAAAAATAGTCATTTTTTAAAAAAAATTGGGGCTTTACTCCAATTTTTCCTTAGACTTCCAATAGTCAAACCATTCTCCTTGAAGTAACTGTCATAGATTTAGCTTTAAGAAATGAAGGACACAAAACTGTGGCAGACATGGCTTTGCTGTTTCTCCAACATCACTTTCATTCACTTTATCAACTTCTGTATTTTAAGATTTACGATTTCACTTTGCAATCAATTTCTATCTTTGCAAGCAACAGGAGAACAGTTATAAAGATAGGTAACGAGAGTTCCCACTATTAATTTTGGTAAAGATGTTTGGTGGAATTTGCTTTGCTAAGTGGTCAGAATGCGTAAGTAAATATTCTCCTCCAGCTGGGTGTGGTGGTTTACAGCTATAATCCCAGGTACTTGGGACGCTGAGGCAAGATAATAGCTTGAGCCCAGGAGTTTGAGGTTGCTGTGAGCTAAGATGATGCCACTGTACTATCTAGCCAGTGTGAGAGTGAAGCTCTGCCTCAAAAAAAAAAAAAAAATTTTTTTTTCCTCTAATGATACTCAAAAGGGCATCTGAATATACACATATACCCATGGCTATGTATGCAGCATTAAGTTTCCTGACAGCCAAGAAACAGTTACCAGTGCATTCCTAGGCACAGCTCTACAGAAGGGACCATAGGAGGAAAAGTGAGGCGAGCAGAGAAGGAGACTTAATCTTGACCTTACCACCTCTCTGAATGTTTTTTCCTTTAATGAACAAATATTTAGAATTGAAAAAAATTAACACTGATTATTTCGTATTATATGACTTTCAAAAGTCAGTATTAACATCCAAGGAATAATAATCCTTTTGCAAAAAAATTATCCCATCCCAAAGACAACTCTTTGGGGTTTGAAAGAATTGCACATATATAAAGTAGACAATACTTGAAAAAAGGCTCTTTCACTTTTTCTTGGGAAAATTACACCAGGAAAAATAATCACAACTTAGAGGAAAAACATACCTGAGTTTCTCTGATTCATTGTTTCGGGATTTTTGTTTTCCTTTATGTTTTGGAGGCTGACCTAAGAATACAAAAGTATTTGTTCCTGAAATCTATACAGAACAGTCTATAAGCTTGAGTGTTAAATAATTAAAAAACATGTAAATTGGAGTAAGGAAGCAGCAGCAGCAGCAATATTGTGAGTATAACTATAAACAGGTAAGCCAAAATAGAAGCTACTGATATTATTTTCCTATGTATGGTATAAAATTATTATAAAGATAAAAGATAACAGTGATAATTATCATTATTTAGGTCTATAATAGATACAGAGAAATATAGGCAATAACTCCTGTTCTCAGGTAGTTTAAAATCAGATGGGATAAAAAGACATACCACTTTAGTAATTAAACAACAATCACCCTTATGAAGGAAAGTAAATACTGTATTATTGCTGACAAATTAATTCCACAGTCAGTAATTTCTCTTACAACTCAGAGAGAAAGAAACGATTTAAGCAGGAGTAGGTGGGCAAAACATTTGTGAGGATGTAGCACTTATGTTTGGTTTTGAGAAACAAGCAGTATTTGGATACACCATGACCTAAATCCAAGAAGGAGTTCATTTTGGAAACACTAAGATCTGAAGAGCTCAGTAAGGGTAGGGCGGGAGGCTGAAAAGGGGTTTCTTAGGCAAGCTAGAGTGAGTGTTTAAGACCCTTAGCTTCGGATCCTCCCACTCTGTGAGCCTAGCCTTTACTCTACTGCCAGGAGTAGGAAGCCACTGTGAATTACTGGGCCCAGGAGTGACTTGCTCAAAGCTGTGCAGAAGAGTTAAGTATGGCAGAAAGGACAGGATGTATTGATGGAAGACTTATGGAAAAAGCACAGTGACAAGTCAGAGCCAGTTTAGTAAGGAAGGAATGAGAACGTGAGCTGGTTTTGGTAGCCTCAGAAAACAAAAGAAGCTTGTAGAAGGCAGAATTCTACTTTCATTTCTGCTGTATGAACTTGGCTAAAAATGCTTAACCCTAACCCCATGACTTCAATTTTTTTACCTGAGTGTAGATGCCAAAGAGTAGACAGTATTTAAGTTATTTATTTAAATGTGTTTTCTCATACTAATGGCTTAAGATATTTTGATAAATTAAAAGCTTCCAAAAGAAATTTTATCCTCAAAGATGGTTCACATACTATTAGAATGACATTAGGGAAGACAACTGCCTGAGTTTCCCTTCTCTATAATTATACTAAAGTGCTAAACAAATAGAAATACCCAATGTTAAGTAAGTGGATATAAAGAAATGGAACTTAAGACAATATAAAACTGCAGGTAGCAAAAGATAAGAACAGTTTCTAGAAGCAAAGCCACTGAAAAGAAAACCAGCAAAGCAACAAATAAAACAATTACTAACTAAAAGACTGACACTCTCATCTCAAGAACCCTGAAAATAATATTACAGGGTCTCCCAAAGTTCACCATAAATAAGAAAAATTAATAAACTCATATTGTATATTTACATCAACTCATAGAGAAGTATTCTGTAAATATTTCATAAAATTTTATAATAAATATTTTGTAAATAAAGGTACATTTAGCTAAAATCTCCCACTTCCCCTATGTATGTATGTATGGTGAAAGGTTGAGATAAATGTTGTGTACAATAACAATCTTCAGCAATCAAGAAAATCTGTATTTTCTTAAACTCTGTTTTAAAAGGGAGGAAAGCATGTAATCAAAAGATTTTCTTTTCTTTTTTTTTTTTTTGACAGAGTTTCACTTTGTCACCCTGGTTAGAGTGCCATGACATCACAGCTCACAGCAACCTCAAACTCTTGGGCTTAAGTGATTCTCTTCCCTCAGCCTCCCCAGTAGCTGGGTCTACAGGTGCTTGCCACAACACCTGGCTATTTTAGCCTGGCTTTTTTAGGGACGAGGTCTTGTTCTGGCTCAGGCTGGTCTTGAACCTGTGAGCTCAGTTAATCCACCCGCCTTGGCTTCGCAGAGTGCTAGGATTACAGGCATGAGCCTCCATGCCTGGCCTTAAATTTACAAAGGTTTTCATCAAAATTTGGCAGTATAAAGATTTGGAAATAACTGAAGCGTGAATATTCACTTCTCTATAACCCTTCATCTCCCAAGATGCCAAGTAATGAGGTCCTGCTATTTGTCTATGTGTTTATCAGACGCCTTAACACATACACTAAATTACAAAACTTAAATTGAGAATTAGCTTAAAGCTTTGTCATAGTCCGAATTTTTGTGTATCCCTACTCCAAAGATTTATATGTTGAAAAAGAATTTCCAAGGTCAAGGTAGGTGGTGGAGCCTTTGGGAGGTGATGAGGCCATGAGGCAGCACCCTCAAAAATGGGATTAGTGTCCTTGTAAGAAACCCCATAGAGCTCTCTTGTCCCTTCGATCATACTTTGTGAGGATATTGCAAAAAAGATGGCCATCTGTGAATCAGGAAGAGGGCCCTCACCAGATACCTAATCTATTCACACATAATGTTAGATTTCTCAGCCTTCAGACATGTGAAAAGTTAATATTTATTGTTTATAAGCTACTCAGTTTATGGTATTTTTGTTATAGCAGCTCAAATGAACTAAGACAAGCATCAATTCTCAGCAGGCACAATATCATCCCCATTAAGGTAAAATTAGTTATTGATAGATGGAAAAAGTCTAACTCTTTCTGTATATAAAGTACAGATGCACATATAGTACATAAACAGTACCTGTGGTACTAAATGTTCATAGAGGAGACCAATTAGGAAAAAAAGGTCTAAAAGGGTCCCTTGGGTGTTGGGAAGCAAAAATGAAAACTTTCAAGAATAAGAAACAATGGCCTTAAAGAAAACTAAGAAGCAGACCAAAAGGAGAAATGTACTTTATCTTTTCCATTCCTTTCATTTAGATTTCCATAATTAAATTTGTTAAATAGTATTAAAAAACTAAACTTTGATTTCAAATAAATACTGTAAAAGAACAACAAATATACATGAGCCTTGTGCAAATTTAAAGGCATAAAAGTGTAGGCAGTAGTACATCAACTTGACAATAACTTATACAGGAAAAGAAAATACTCACTTGATGGTGGTGGAAATTCAGGATGACAGTCACAATCATCTACCTTCAAAGCCTCATCTACCACCTGCCCATGAATACAAAGTTAATGAGACTTACACAATGCAAAAAAAAAATACAGTCATGAAGAATTCAATAGCTACATAATAGAATAGAATACAACAGAATTCACTCAAGTACTTAAAAGACAAAGCTGGTTATTAAGCCTAAATGTATAAACAAGCAAACAAAATGACAATTAATGACAAGAGAACATGATATGATATGACAAATTCTTGAACAACAATTCTATTTCTGATGCCTGGTATGATGCCAGTCATGGCAGTTGTTCAATAATGTGTTTTCTGCATTAACACTATCACATCTTTCCCTATGCTCCTCTCCCTAGGTAAAAGTAGCTTCTTGGAGATTTTCAATAGTACCAACAAAGGACTGTATAGTAGGTGGATTGCCAAAATACTGTTTTCTTTTTCTCTCCTCAAACTCTGAAGAGAAAGACAAATATGGACTTGGTGAAAGCTGCTGAGTTTTGTGTAAACTGCAACTCAGAATAAAAATTCAGGTAGAGCTCATCTGGCACATCTGATCACAGAGCCAGTCTGGAGGATTACTGGCACTCTGGAGAAAATATCAGAATAAGACATGTGCTGAACATAGCTATGAATCAAGGGACAAGACCGCTGTATTAGAGGCTGCAGAAATACCTGAGGCAGATGTGGGTAGCCAGGGGCCTTGAAGGCCCAGCACAGCACAAGTTGGGCAGCACAGCACTAGTTGGGTAGCTAGGCTAATGCATTGCAAAAGGGGAAAAGGGAGAAAAAGAAAATTCCAAAACCTTATGAGGGTTGGGAGAGAGAGAGTGATGTGGCCACCAGGCTCCACTGTCACTTATTCCCAAGTGACTGGCTGGGAGATATTATAGGACTAAGAGGCAAAAGCATATCTAGAAAAGATATTTTTGAAGACATATAAGTAATATTTCAAAAGAAATTCTATAAATCTGAAAGAGTCTACTTATGGAGTTATATGAGATAGACAGATTATTTATTAAAAAGAGAATCATTCTCATCTTGTAAGGGTACAAGTGAATCTTTCTATGAGTAGAATATGAATGTTTTGACATAATAACTACGAAAGTTACATGAAGGCTATGTTAACCAGTTTGATGGAAGTGTCTTGGATTGTATATGAAAACACCACACTGTACCCCCAAAGTG